AATTCGTCCTGCTCCCCTTACAGCAACATCAGCAGGACTCCTATGTGCCCGTGTGATTACAGAAGATTGTAAAGGAAAGACTAAAATGCCTGCCTCCTATTTAAGAAGTTGCTGTTAAAACCTAAAATCAAGGACATTTAAACTATTGACATAACACAGCAAATAGTAAATGTGGTCCTAGTCAGTAAGTATAAAACCTCACCCCCAAACCCTGTCCACCTCAAGGCCTTATAACCACTACACAATGTCCAGTTTTCAACAACAACAACAAAAATGACCATGCATTATAAAAGTCAAAAATACAGTCTAAAAAGACAAAGCAAGCATCAGAACTAGGCCTCCAGACAGCAGAGGGACTGGGATGATCAGGCTAGGAACTTGAAACAAGTATGATTAATGTATAGCAGCTGCAGGAAAAATGTGGACACCATGTAAGAACAGATGGGTACATCAGCAGAGTGGCAGAAACAAAGAACAGAGAGGAAGCGCTAGAAGTAAAGAACACTGGGGCAGAGGAAGCCTGGGCGTGGCTGAGAAGAACTGTGAGCTTTGGGTTGTAGTAACAGAAACATCCCAACCTGGGATGAGAGAGGAAAGATGGAGCCCAGTCTAGACTGCGGGACATTTATAATGGCATAACCTATATTCTTCAGTGGGAATACCAGGAGAATAAAGGAACAGAAGAAACCACATGAGAATGCTTCAAAATTAATGTCAGACACCAAGCCGCCTATCTAGGAAGCTCAGAGAACACCAGGCAGGATGCATATCAAAGACCCTATCCTTGGGCATATTCAAACTGCAGAAACTCAAAGACAAAGAGAAAAACCCTGAGAAAAGGTGGAACAAGTCAATACTTTACCTATAGAAAAGTGAAGAAATATTACACCAGATTTTTCTTCAGAAAGCATGCAAAAGACAAGAAAGTAAAACATTTAAAATAGTGAAATGGGGAAAAAAAATAGCACCCCAACCTAGAATTTTGTACTTGTGAAATTTTCTTTTTTTTAAAATTTTAATTTAATTTTTTATGTGTATGGGTGTATTGCCTGCTTGTATGTGAGTGCACCCGTGTCATGCAATGCCGCCGAGGTCAGAGGAGGGCATCAGATTCCCCTGGAACTAGAGTTAAAGATGGTTCATAGCCACCATGTGGGTGGGTGCTGGAAATCGAACCCAGGTCCTCTGCAAGAGCAGTCACAGCTCTTAACCGCTGAGCCATCTCGCCAGCACTGTGAAATTATTTTTCAAAAGTAAAATAGACTTTTCTCACAAAAATTGAATTTGTTGTCTGCCTTGCAAAAGATGATGAAAGGAGTTTTCAGACAGAAGAAAAACTATATAGGTCAGAAAAATCAGACAAAAGAAAGAGGAGCACTGAGAGTGAACAGGAGGTGTAGGTAAATAGAAACGTCTGTTTCCTCCACCTAACACTTACAATTTGTTCAAACTAATCATAGCAACAATGTATTATCAGGTGATTATGGAGAAGTAAAACAGAAGTTATCAATGTCATAAGGGACAGGAGGGAAGAAATGGAATACTCAGTTATATTTTACACTACTCGAAGGGCATTTGGCTGGGAAGATGGTGTTGGGAATAAAGCAGGTCCTGCATGAGCATGAAGACCTGAGTTCGGATCCCCAGCACCCACATAAAAGCCATGCACAATGGCGCAAGTGTGTAATACAAGTCCTGGGGAGTTAGAGATAGGACCCCTTGAGCTTGTTGTTCAGCTAGTCTAGTTGGATCAGTAAGCCAGGTTCGGTAAGTGATCCTGTCCCCAAAATAAGATAGTGATTGAGGAAGATACTGACCTCTGGCCTCCACATACACATATATGCACACACGAGAAAGTGGACTTGAAGTAGTTGCAAATGTACAATGCAAATTTTAGGAAAACCACTAATTTCTTTTAAGGAAGTATGAGGGCCAGCAAGATGGCTTAAAAGGTAAAGGTGCTTGCCACCAAGTCTGATGACCTAAATTTAATCCCCAGGATCCACATGGTGGAAGGAGAGAATGGACTTCCACAGGTTGTTCTCTAGTCTTCACATATGCACTGTGGGACGAGTACACACACACACACACACACACACACACACACACACACGAACCCAGAAGGACACCAAAGGGAAACTAAATCACTGGCTACATTAAGTCAGGATTTGGGGTGATCCTTTACTCACAAACCACATCACATTTTTTTTTTAACTTTCTCCTCAGGTTACACGGTCTAGACCAACTGTTCTCACTATGCATTGTCCTAGAAGCCAGCTCTGTGCCTACACACAGACACTTTCATCTAGGTCTAAGTGACATGTCGTGGAATCCTAAGGTCTTAATTGGAATTGTAATATCCCACTAAGTAGAAAAAGGCCCCATAAGGCAAGGATTATGATAGTTGTGCTTACCTAAGTGCCTGGCACATTGTGGGTGCTTAATAAATACTTGATAAATAAATAAAATAAGTCTGCCACAACTGAGCCTTGAAACACTATGTATAATTCAAATTTGATCTCTACAAGTACCTTAGAAGCCATTTTCCCATTTTCCATTTCTACTTATTTATTTATTTTTGTCTTTTTGAGACAGGATCTCTTTGCGTAGCCCCAGTTGACCTGGAACTTGCTATGTAGACCAGGCTGGCCTTGAACTCACAGAGATCTAGCTGCCTCTGCCTCCCAAGTGTTGGAACTAAAGGTATGCGCTACCATGACTGGCCTTATTTTTCATTTCTTTAGCAAACACTCACTGTTTTTAGTGTGACAGAGCTAGAACACAGAGATGAATGATAACATGCTGAGTCGCATAAATGAGAAGAGGAAGAACAATATTTTCTGGCCACTACTATATGTGCTTTTTAAAAAATGTAGTCCAGGCTGGCCTTAAACTCAAAATCCTCCTGTGTCCTCTTTGTTAAGTGCTGGGCTAGCAGGTGTGTGCTGCCTCACCAGACTGACTCACACTTTGCACCAGTTATTTCGCCCTCCCCATTCACTGACTCTACTATGTTCCTTTTGTAGAAAAATAATTGAAGATTTACATAAAGACCCATAGATAGCAAATGCAGAGCCAAGAATTTATTCTAGGACCTGGATATTTCTTCTACTATGAGGTTTCTTGTCTACGTAATTTATTTACATATTCACATGGTCTGTTCTACAATAGTTTGTCAAGGAAACTCATATTTTTCACAAATGTTGAGTTATACAGAAATAATTTCATTGGGAAAATAAAAATTAGAGTTTTAGGCTCTTAGTTACAAGTTATTCATCTTGGAAAAAACCCAATAATATATAACTGCATGAATGTATAATCGAAGGCTAAGTATAGTAGACTGCTTGAACAAAATAAATGAAACTATTAAGTCTGGAGCGGCATCTCAGACCTGAGTCAATGGGTTTCTAAGCTATGATAAACAAAGCACAGTGCAGCAGTGAGATGATGATTGAACTCAAAGTAAAATGTATGGGGCCCGTGTAGAGCAAGCAAAGGACATGGAGCCAAGAAGCTGCCAGCAGCCCCTCGGAGCTCAGCACTGCGTTCTCAAGTCCCCAGAGCTAAGTCCTGGATGTGCCCATCCCACCAATTGTATTTCCCTGATTGAGCTATTGTGTTCTGCTTTGTTTGCTTTATGAATGACCAAACTGCAGAGGGAAGCCTAAAATATGGAAATGAATTCTTAGCCATAGTTAAAGAAACACTCAGGTCAGGCTCTGGGAGGCCCACTGCCTAGGTGGATACAGCACATAAGGGTCTGAGGCCATAAGGAAGCACCTAGGCTACTTGTCACTGCACCCTAAATCACCATTCCTTCCTAGTGAGTGAAAATAAACTGGACCTAGAATCATCTGCATTGCATACAAGGGCAGAGACTTTGAAAACAAGTTGTTCCCATCCATGCTCCAGGGGTTTAAGACTGGAGTTGCCCTAAATGGTATGGCCCAGTTTAGCGCAAAGATAACAGTCTCTTACATTGTTATAGTTCCCAGAAACTTTCAGTGATTATGTAACAACCCTAGCAATGAAGTCACAATCTTGTTGAGTTCCATCTCCAACACCATATAAACTGGGTGTGGTAGTGCATGCCTATAATCCCATCACTTGGAAAGTGGAAGCAAGAAGATCATGAGTTCAAGGTCATCCTCATCTACATAGTGAGTTTGATGTTAGCCTGGACTACATGAGATCCTGACTCAAATAAAATAAAAAACAAAAACAATCAACAGGGGCTCAGCAGTGAAGAGCACTAGCTCTCTTACAGAGGACCTATAAGTGTTCAGTTCCTAGCACCTATATGGTAGCTAACAACTGTCTGTAACTCCAGTTCCAGGGGATCCTCTTCTGGACTCCTTGGGTCTTACACATGGGTGCACATATACATGCAGGCAATACACTCATATATATAAAAATATTTTTTAAGAAAACAAAACTCCCCATTAGTTTACTCTTCTATAAAATGGGGATCCATGTAACATCTCACTCACTGGGAGCTAGATTGTGAAGATCAAGTACAAATCATTTGAAATTATTCTTGTGATCAAGTACATATTATTTGAATTATTATTGTAACAATCAAATACAAATTCTATATAACACACTCAGCAAAGAATTCAGCCCTGGTTAGGGCTAGACCTAAGTTTGGGTTTCAGGGTATCTTCACATGGATTCTGGATGGAGAAGTCTCCTTTTCTTCTTAGAAGCTCAACTGCCAGTTCTGTAACTCCAGTTCCAGGGGAATCCAACGCCCTCTTCTGACCTCTGTGGCCATTGTACAACATATGTACACTTACATACATGTAGGCAATACACTCATACACATAAAATAATAAATGAATTTTTTAAAAAACTCTAAGAGATTCAAAACAAAAAACTTGGGGGCAGCCTGGGCATGTTTGGGGCCTGACCACTGAGCCTAGGACAGGAGAAAAAAGATCGGTACAGCTTGTCTCTCCTCCCACGCTGCTAGCTGGTCCCTAGAAACTCCCCATCCCCACCTGAAAAGCCATGGAGTTGGCAGCTGCCAGAAATATCCTGAGGGGCAGTGTGGCCTTGTAGGACCTGTGGCTCCAAAGCCGATGGGCACCAGCCGTCACACCCAGAGCAGTCAGGAGGAAGCAGAAATAGGCTGCAAGATACAAGCAGGAAGAAAGAGAGTCAACCACTGTCAGCATGCCTTTCAACGACCTCACATTTTCTCCCTCCCGGCTAGGGACCCATGGGAAATGCATCTGTCCAAGGAAGACACTGCATCGAGAGCCGTCAGTAACTTAAGAAGATGAGGACTTTTTTTTTTTTTTTTTGGGTGAGCAATTTTCCTGGGCCGGGAAAAAGCAAAATAACTTTCTTCTGGGAACTTTGACCTAACTTCAGGAGGTTTTAAATTTCATTTCCTCCCTCCATCACAGCAGCCCTTCCTTGCCTTTCTTCCAGTCTTGATGCAAAGGCTCAACAACGTGAGTGCAGTCTGCAGTCCGGCCTGCCCACCCACGCTCTGTGGAGTGAGATTGCTCTCTACAGTGCCCCTTCACAGGCACTCATGCCAAGGGGCTTGTTCTACCAAGAGCTTATTTCTAAGCAAAAGTCCATTATCATGGCTCCATGAGCCTCGGCTTGAAGGAAATTAGTCCAGACTTAACAGCAATGAAGTCTGACTCAGACCAATATGAAGGAGGATAAACCTGACCATCTAGAGATGGAAGACAGCCAGGTGGCAGATTTTTCTTTTCAAAGCTTACCTACAGTGGGGCTTGTGGCTGCCTCATTTAAATGTATTACCACCCCTAATGCTCACCACAGGTGTTACCTTTCCGATTTTATAGTTGAGGGTCAGGATCCATGAGAGGTTGACTGGTAAATCCTACATGTAAACCCAACTCATGCCTCTGCCAAAAGACCCCAGGTCACTGCTGTGCTGTTGCTGGTGGGGATGGTAATAATGGTAAGGAGATGGTCATGGTAATGATGGTGGTTTGCTTCTTGTTTGGGGGCTTGGGACAAGCTACCAATCCGTGATAGGAAAACAATACACAGACACCCAACAATAATGATTCTTGAAATTACAAGCACCTACATGGTGGCTAACAACCATCTATAACTCCAGTTCCAGGTGAATCCAACGCTCTCTTCTGACCTCTATGGCCATTGTACAACATGTGTGCACTTACATACATGTAGGCAATATACTCATACACATAAAATAATAAATACATTTTTTTAAAAACTCTAAGAGATTCAAAACAAAAAACTTGGGGGCAGCCTGGGCATGTTTGGGGTATTTAAAAAAAAACATGCTCATTGGTATTAAATATTTTGCCTGGATTATTCTAGTACATATATTAAGCAAGCCTATGGGGCTTGTACTGTTACTAGTCCCATTTTGTAGATGAGAAAACAGACTTAGAGCTATGAACTAGTTTCTGAACATCACAAAGCTAGAAAGTAGCTTTGTTAAGAGTCATATCCAAGTCTTTTTGAACCAATGGAATTTCTGATCACTACACTACTGTTTGCTTCTGGGAAATACCAAGTATGTTTTACTCTCACTCCTTCACACCTTGCTGTTACCTTAACATTATGCCTTAACATTATGCCAATCTATATGCCTATGTGCTTCCTCAGTTGCAGGGAAGGCCTAACCAGGCTCTAGGAAGGTGACACCTACACTTAGCACCTGCAGGGCTGTCCCTAAAGAACAAGCATTGGGCTGTGAGCCCCCACAGTGGTTGTGAATAGTTTCAGGCCAGTATGAGAACGCAGGAAGCCTACCACAGCTCCTCTCTGGAAGAATTATCATGGCAACTTCAGGGTCAATATACATATTTAATAGGAGCACACTGTTATATCTTACAAAAGCTAAGTGCCTGATACCTCTTGGCCTCAATCTATATTTATATGGCTCTGAAAGCAAGATTTATCCTCAGCCCTAAGATGGATACATCCCTGAATGCATGTGATTTCATGAACTTGACAACTTGTTCCTTAGTTGAGAGGTTAAAAAGGAAAAAACAGCAATCTGCCCACGTATCTTAGAAAGTACAGTAAACAAAAAGCTTTAATATCTTTGCTATTATAATTTAACCGTGGTCATGAGTTCATGAAATGGGCAGTTATTTTTTATGTCATCCTTGGCCTTTGTGTCTCTACTAAGGTTTTTTCAGCTGTCAAGTGGTTAGGAGGCTAAGTCTAGAATGGAACAATTCAAAGTGACTCTACTAGCCAGTAAGATAGAAACTCGACCTTAGATGTCATTCTATTAACTCCAAGACTCCATGAAAAGAACTGGGCAAAAAAAGAGATCACTCTAATCCATGTTTCCCAGTGAGACCATTACTGGAGACTGTGGCATCATCTTGCCCTTTTGGGAATTTCCAACAATGTAGGGGTCATTTGTATAGTTTGCCAACATGCACAAAAGTTCAAGTCAGCACCTTCACTGGGCAGTGGAAGTTGTTGGTTTTCTGGGACCTTCATGCAACTGGTATCTGGTTGAGACCTAACCCTGTCTTTCTTCTGGGTCAAAGCCCAATCTGGAGGTTTACCAAAGGTCACATATCATCAAGCTAGAAAGGTATAATCACATTAGCAGAGAATGAAGGCAAGACATGATGATGATGAGATGCTCAGGAGAGCCAGAGGGAGAACTGCTCTCCTCCAACTTGATTGTAGGCCTGGAAAGCCTGGTGGTTCTTCTCTTGATGTTGTAAGCCTCCCCAACACTCTTCTAAGCTGCCACGGTCAACCAGCTCCTTTCTCTTGCTTAAACTGTGGATGTCTGATGCATAAATTCTGCAGAACCTCTTGGAAGGAAAGTAACCATTTATTCACGGCCCGAAGATGACCCTAGTGTTTCCCACTTACTCGTGGCCTTATGTCCCCTTGAGTAACTTGCTTCTGACCAAAAGAATGCAGCAATGTTAAGGAACGTCAGTTTCATGATTATATTACAGAAGATTTGTGAGCAGATTTTTTTCCTATGAGTCAGTGTGATGAAGAAAGCTGCTACTTTGGAGGGTCCTTGGCGCCAACAGGGTAGCGAGGCCCCTAGCCTGGAAGCAGACAGCTACTGAGCTCATGTGACTGTGAATAAAGTTGGAAACAGATTCCTTTCCCAGGCAAGCCTTCAGACAACAGTGCCATCCTGACCACACAGCCACATGTAGGGTCCTGAGGCAGAGGCCCCAGGAAAGCTGCTCCTATACTCTTGCCCCACATACCAAACTGTGAGAAAGTAAATGTATGTTTTTAAACTGGTAGGTTTGGGAGTAATTTGCTATGCAGAGTAGGTAACTAGTACAGGACTTATGCGGGAACCTTTCCTTCAGGAAAGGAAGGTTGAAAATCTGATTGGCAAAAAGCTCTATCTGTAGAGCTGCAAAGCAGATTGATGTTGCCTGAAGCTGGTCAAACAGGGGGAAGGGACTTGAAGAGTAACTGGTATTGGGTTTTGGAGGTAAGACACGATAAGAATGTTTTAAAACTGACTTTAGTGATGATGGCACAGTTTTGTGGATGTACTATAAAATAATGAATCATACCCTTTAAGTAAGTGAATACATGAAACATAACTTAATAAAGTCACTATTTTAAAAAACATTACTGAATTCCTATTAGATTTTATTATTACCTGAATTGTTCTCAAGGTAAAATAGACATGTTACAAAACAGACATAAACAAAACCAAACCAATTGTTTGCCTAGGATGCCACCAGTGTCACCATCAGCCAGACATTTCCCACCAGACTCTCCATCATACCATGGACCTTTGAATCTTCCACAGCTACCAAGAGAAGCCTCCATTTTCTCTAAGGCCTGTGCCTAAATCTACCTAAACCCAAGACCCAGAGGCAGAAACAACTTGTTGCCTCGTTTGGATCCCGAGCCCTGGTTCTAGCTGCCAGTAACAGGAGGCAGGAGAGCCCACAGTTCTGTCGCTTCTAAAGTGGCAGGCAGAGCCCCAACTGTACTTATTCCCCTGTTGCGTACAATATTGCCAATGATTGTAGTGACTCCCGTGCAGTAAGAAAGGATCCTGGAGAGATGCTGAGAATCAAAGATTAGAATTCGTTCATTCTAGACCCTACCAGGGACAGAGATAGATAGTGCCTCAAGAGTCAAATGATAGACAGGATTGACAAACTCTCCTATCCTTGATGACTGCAATCTGTCTCTCTAGCATCAGAATGAAAGCTAATGAATAATCATCGCTCTCATCTACCTGAGAGCTTGCGACGCACCAGGCCCCACTATAAGCACTATACACAGAATCACTCTAAAGAGGGATAACATTATGACCTCTGTCTTGTAGGTGAAGGGAACTAGATACCAAGTGAGAGATCCCGCACCAACCTAACACAGGAAGCCTGGCCCCTGGGACTGCCCTCAGTCTAGTAGAAGCTCTGGTTCATCATTTCCTTCCAGGCAGCTCAAAACACAAGCAGAAGCTCCAAGCCCTTCTGTCTTTATCAGCGTGCAAGTCCTCTCCCTTGCCAATAATACAGTCCCTATCATTCTGCGTCTGATTCAGCCTATTTTTCAGAGACAGAAGTGCCAGCTGACCCAAGAGTTCAAGACCATCTATTGAGCGCCTATTATGTACCAGTCACTGAACTTAACATTTCCACCAATGTATTTGAAAAATATCTTGATTTATGACTTTTCTTTGATCTGTTACTATAAAAACATCATGAAACTGTTACTATGTTGAAACATCAAATATGGGGTAACCTGAATCTGTGTTCCCAGTCCATGGCCCTCATATTTGGCTCCAGAATAAATTCTCTCTTATCCCCTTTGAGGTGAGGGTTATGCTTCTCTGTCAACCTGACCCTAACAGGTGGGCAGAGGTAGTGAAATTCAGGCAGAGAGACTGGCAAATGCAGAGCCCTGAGGCTGAGCCCTGAGAGGTTCAGTTGATTGATTGATCGATCGACTGTTTTTTGATGCCTGTACTTGTCTTACCAGTTTTTGTTGCTGTTGCTCTTTTTTAAATAGGGTCTCCCTGGGACTACAGGCATGTGCCATCACGCCTGGCTTGTCTTACCTTTTGACTCAGCAGTTACACATCTAGGTTTATACCCCAAAAGCCTGGGCTTGAAGCACACATCCCTCCATCCACTTGTAGGGCCC